CACAGAGATATGCACAGAATTAGCTGTATGAGTATATGGGAACGTTTCCCATGTATATTTCTTGTACACAGTAATAAGAAGATTATTACTTTGTGGCTGTTTTATTATTATGACCTACTTTGCAACTCCCGCTGTGCACCATTATTAATTTACAGTTATCCTCAATAATTCTACATCAGATCAAAGGCAGCTTACATATACGATGCACATACAGATTGCACATGTGCACATGCATGAGGGGTGACTGACTGCCTCGGGTGGAGAACCTGCTGAGTACTGGAAGAGGAAGGGCGAAGCAAGAGGAGAAAGAGGAAGATGATGGAAATGAGGAAGAAAAAGTGCTTTCTAAACTGCGTGAATCCACTCTGCTGACGCTGGCAAACGGTGAACGCTGGGGTTGAATCTTGCAAACCGAAAACCATCCATGACACCTAAGGGCACTGGCTTATAGATCCACTTGCAGAAAACAAAATTATACAAAAAACGTGAACTGGCAGGACACAGCATCTTGAGAGAGTGCACAAACTTTGGGGAGAAGCCCTGACCAAACATTCTCTCATCTGATGTACTAACCTTGAAACCTTGTGAGGCAGTATAGTATACTGATCAACCCTGATATCACACGTAAATCCAGATGTCCAAGTGTTTTAGATTTGTAGATATAAATAAGTTATCAACTCATTTTTTATCAACTCAACAGAAATCTCAATAGCTAAATATCCCATAAATACATAAAAATATATCTAGGAGCTTGACATTTACCACCTCAGTGTTTCTTAAACATAAGCACTAACTTTTGTTTCAGTTTTTATTTTTCATTCATGCAAAACAACAATGACACTTGTAGTTGATATACTGATGCACAAACTCCTAATTCACATTTTGAGGTTTCAGTCTCTGTTCACAGCTACCCGTGGTCCATTCCTGAGCCTGTTGTTTTCCTACCAGCTGGCTTACTGGCAAGGTCGCTGTCATAACATTCAGCCTCAGATTCCCTTGTCTGTCTTGGACTGTAGCTGGCAGTGATAATCCTTGTTCTGCTCAGGAGATTTGCTGAGAGCCACTCAGAAATCCTCTACCTGCTCTAGGTTGCTCCAAGCTCACTGAGCCCAAAGAGCAGAGCAAGGACTACCATGTGTCATGTGCAGTTGGAATCCATTAGTGGGATAATATATATAAGGTGTTTCAGATCAATTTAAAGCCAACAAGGAAACCAATAAAAAAGAATAACCAATAAAATAGAATGAAATGTTACCCTAATACCAGTTTAAAAAGATGAGTCTTAAGCTGCTTTTTGAATGAGTCCATTGAGATCACAGATCATAGACTGGAGGGCAGTGAATTCTAGAGTGGTTGCAAATGTCACCTTCAGTTTTTTGTCTAAATTTGGGGATGGATAACGATCCCTGATCAGAAGACCTGAAAGGCCTGCAGGTGACATATGGCTGCAAAGGTTTGTTAATATAATGCTTAACTGTGCAGAGACCTAATGTGAACATTCGAAGTCTGATAGGGAGCCAGTGCAGTAAAATCAGCCAACCCAGTATCACAGCAAAAGACCTGCTGTTCCATTGTGTAGTTGCCATGGTTTGCCTCTTCTAGGCATGAAATGCATTGATCAGCAAGCGTGTGACATGACCATTTTTGGACGATCTGGTGCAGACCATTACCTGTAGCTGTAGGCGATCCATGGAGCACAGTGTCAGGTTTAAACCACCACGACACCAACAGTAAAAACACTGACCTCGCTGGGAGTTTCTAAACAATGAGTGACATCAGGGTGGGTGTGCACATCGTTCATATACAGTTTATGTATGCAATTTACAGTTACTTTCACTTCATCTTCTAATTGTTTTCATAATTCATGAGTAGTTGTGAGAATACTTGAATGATGAATTTAGTCTTAGTCTTCTTCTAAATTAAAAGATAAGGATCTAAAAATCAAACAGACTGCTATGTCAGTATGGCTTCTAATTTGCACTACATTTGCATTTTAATTAACACCATTTATAGAAGCCTGGAGTTGTACAGCTTTGTAACATTTTAGAATACTATGGATGAAAGGGTAGACTACATCGAATTTATACAAATCCTTTGGATCAAAGTGCACATGTTCATGGATGCAGATGGGATGGTGAATATTCTTAAATATTTGACAGTGTGTGTACAGGAATCAGCACATTTTTCTTTTAAATGTGCTGTATTTCATTTTAAAGAATATGATGTCTAAAACATAACGATCAGTTTTATTGTAGCTCACAAATGACTGTACATTATTATATAATTATGTATCCAAGTCTTTTACTAATTCAAATCTAATCTAAATATGAATCGTGGATGTTTGTGGTACTATGCACAAATCATGTACTGGCATTTTAAAAATGCTTCCTCAGAAGTGTGTATTTTGTCGCACAAGTCATGCATCAATTTAATCACCAAAGCTGTCAAAACCAGCTTGTTTCCAAGAAAAACTATTAATTTGTTACATTTGACAAACGGCTTCTTTCTTGGTGAGCTATGAACACTGACAGAGTTTCCTGTAGAATCAAAAAGAGTTTGAGGGCTGATGACTCAATGATTCTTATCCCTTCACTAATGTTCATTCAATGCCTGGTTGAGGAATTCATACAAACTATATCAGGTCAGGAGTGCTTTAGCCCAATTTCTAGTGACCCACATTTTTCTGAGTTAGGCGGTTAACATCTACGGGAGATGCATTAGAAAATAAATGAATAATAAATGAAACACTGATGCACTGAGAAGCCTATTCTTTGAGCAATGATTAACCCATCTCAATGTGTATTGTACACATATGTTTGAGCATGAGCTCTTAAGAGAAAAAAATGACAAATCCTTGGTAAAGACACATGAAAATACTGATTTATGATAACCACTGAATATGTATCCAATTACAACACTCTAAGTAGACATTCCTCAACCATTACCAACGTATAAATACATACTGTTGCTACTGCTAACTTCTAATCATACGTCACACAAAGCTAAATATTTTCATTACTGCCATGTGTAAATTTCAGTCACTGGATCTACAATCACTGTAAACAGATCTCTGCACATGCTTATTGCTGAGTGTAAATACGAGACATGATTTATGGTGGTACTCTCGCTGTAGTCTGCTCTTAGTCTGAGTCATATTGACCAGTCTCCATGTTAAAAGCAAAATAAAAAAAGAGGATTGCATTTGCTGCAAGTGTAACTGCAATATGAATTTCACTTTTAAAAAGTGATATCTAGGTATTCTAGTCCCCTCTCAATCTTCTTGGCATCAATCACTTTTAGATGTGCACACTACAAACAGAAAATTCTACTCTTTCTGCTGCTTTATCATTAAAAACTATTAATAGTAAATCACAGGAATGCTCCTTTTTTATTGTCCATAATGTTCTAGTCACTATTGACTGGATTTTGCTAGTCATGTCATTTCTCCATGCACCTGTATTATTTGAAGTACATTAAGTATTAAGTAAAACTGATCCATTGGAAGTACTCTCTGATCGTGGGTTGATATTGATATCCGGGATCATATCCCCTTCTGTCACTTCGACATGTCTCACCCACAACAGAAAGTCAATAATTTATGCTTACAACACAATGAGTGTGCTGCATTGGCTGTGACCTCTAGCATGTGAAGCCATACAGATAGCAATGAAAAGTGCAACAGAAAAACCTTTACGTATTTTACATTCATGCATGTAAACTGGTTTTTAGTGGAACATACAGAGAAGGGTGCGTGTCATCAGGTGACAGGCAGACAGAAAAGCATGCAGAGCTGCATGGGCGTCTGACAAGCAGGCATACACCCGAGACTGCATCTCCAACCATTTCATCCAAAGCATCTTACAGCAGCACCGGTGCACATTCAGCTTGGGTGGGTACCGAACCACTCCACGGTTGCTGCAGAATCACTGACTGACAGGCAGGCCGCGGTATGGGCAGACAGACACGCGGACAGAGGGGGTAGGTATCTGCGCGGCTTCTCGTGCTTTTGTGTTTTCTCGCTGGATCAGCCTGACAGAAAATCAATGACGCTGCACTCTCACGGAGACGCAGAGTAACCAGAAAAGCAAGGACGACGGAGGCTTAACATGCAACAGTCGAGCGCGCACCTATTCTTACACAGTCGCTGCAGGTCTTAGGTTGAGGACAGCCTGGTGAAGATTCAGGCGTGTGCATGTGAGGGAATGTGTCAGTCACGACAGGGGTACACATCTGATTATATTTGCCAATTATACATGCCACTCCACGGAGCCGTTGAGATGAATGGAGTCCCAGGCTAATATGGGCACTTCCACAGGGCTTTGATATAAGACCCAGCTGGTCTTCACATTTAGCACAAATTGATTGCAAAATTATCCATATGCATAAACCTGATCAGACTGAGAGAAAACCGAGGTGATCGTGCCTGGTTGTTGTGGTTGGACTGAGATTTGAGGATTGCATTAAAAAAAATAAAATAAATGAAAATAAAATAAAAGAATGGATTGACGTTTGCATGCGCAGTCAATATTCCGGGCGTGAGGAAGGCGGTGGGGGTCGGATCGCACCAATAACCCACCGGGCCGCCGCATCACTGTCAGTAAAAGGCTGCCATCATCCATTCATTCACCTCATTGTTAAATAGAAGACGAATCAGCATTAGCTTTCAAGGAGCGGCGTGTGTTCAGGTATTTTAACCGTGTAGCCCATCTGAGAGCACCAGCTGGGAATAGGCTGCAGGACACCGCTATTTTCAGAGAGGGAGCACATGTGTTTAACCGTGGCAACAAATTCTTATAAATAAACTTTCATTTACCTTCATGTCGTTGACAATCGCCTGGAACAGACCACCGAGGGCCCCGCATTCCTTCTCCACCGTCTCCATGTTTGCCAAATCCACCATTCGCCGGAATTTTTAGAAGCGCGCACCAATTGCGCGCTACCAACACCCAGCAGGGAAAAATATACAAAAAAATTATTTCCACAAAATCACGACCGGTCTCTGAAAACCGGGAGACCGACAATAACGGGAGGGATGCAGGAAGAACGGGAGGAGGAGGAGGGGTGGGAAAAAAAGAACGATGCCGAAACAAACGGCTTCGTTGCGGTCTCTTCCAGGAGAAGGTAAGATTGGGTTTGAGAGAGGAAAGGCACACAATCTCTCTCTCTCTCTCTCTCTCTCTCTCTCTCTCTCTTGCGCTCTCTCACTCCCTCCCACTCAGGCGGTGAGATGGTACCGGGGCGACCACGCTCATCTTGGCGCAGCCAGCGCAACGCGGGGACGCATGTGAACGCAGCGGAGAATCACAGGGATGTGGTGTGTCAGAGCCTGTGTCTGTGCGTTCGTGCATGCATGTGCTCGTAGGTAAAATAACGACAGGCTGTGATTGGTGCACAGGCGGTGGGCTCAGCGGTGCAGGGAGAGCAGCCAGTAATACGATCCGTGCAAGCGAGTCACAAAAAGGGGAGGCTGGACAATCCTGGACGGTGTGTCACATGGCCGCACGCAGGCACATATACATGCATGTAGACACACACACACACACTACAGCATGGGGCTTACTGTCAGATAGAGTTAGATACTAGCAGAGTGTGTGTATGTGTGTAGGAATGCGTACTGACCACCTGATTTATGTTTAAACCACTAACCATTCAGTGACATGTATGAGTGGTTATTTTTGACATTGTGGCTATTTCTGAAATTCCACCTGCTACCCTCTTGTGACATGAGTTCACTGGTGTACCCAGGAGGCAAAACATCTTCAGGTCCAACACACTTCATTTTCCATACCAGTTACTCAGAGTAATAAATAAATACATAAATAAGTAATTAAAAATAAAAGTTGACTCTGTTTTATTTTGATCCTTAAGAAGAAGCAGTTATTTAGATACCATGCCATGGTTTACAGTTTACGGTACAAAAATATCTTTATGGATAGGTTTCCCCTCTCATAACAGCTGTTTGGAAACTGTTAGAGGTTACAGTTCAGTGGGTGGCTGTGGCTACAATGTAGCTTGCCATCACCAGTGTGTGAATGAATGGGTGAATGACTGGATATGTAAAGCGCTTTGGGGTCCTTAGGGACTAGTAAAGCGTTATATAAATACAGGCCATTTTACAGGCCATTTTACAGGCCATTTACAGTTCGTGGTGTGTCCTCTCTGTCTGGTAGGTGTGCTGGCACGGGCACATGTAGATGACTGGTAGAAAACACCTGTGATGATTCAAGTGACTAAACAGAACCTCTTGACTGAGGTTAAAGCTACCTGACTATGCTTATATCCTCACTAAACAACTGTTTCACTGACTGTACCGTTTCTGTTGAACATAAAAAATAACAGTTTAAAGACATGCAGCAAACTGGAAACAACTGGGAACGATGAATTTATATTTGGTATAATGCACATCATTGTGTGTTGCATACTTAAATAAATAAATAATATGTTTTATTTTGAAATAAACTGGTTTAATTGTTCTCATTTCCAGCTTCATAGTTTTATTTTTCTGTTTTCAGTTTTGCCTCCTTCCGTTAAGCTCAGTCTCAGTGCTCACACTCAGGGCTGTGTACCTAACATGACCATATTAGGGGTGTTCACTCTCATTGACATACAAATCCATGACTGTAAAAATAATAACTCTGAATGAGCATTTAGAGTAGTCTAAAGCTTGAGTCTGTAGCTCAAGGAGATTACTTGGACATACATATCATTATCTCATTATTTGAAACTTTGGTCTTTCTGTTTTTGGCCATATCACTATCCAAAAAAGAAAAAGAAAAAAGAAAAACGAGTAGGTTGGGGAGTTGGGGATTAATATTTATATTTACACTGCTGTTAATATTAAAATTTCAGTTTGATACAAAGCCGATTACTGTTACATGACATTACAAACACTTAATAAAACACCCAAATGACACATCTGCATGCATTTAAAAAAACGCCCCCTGTAGGCATTTCACACTTTAATCTTCATAGAAGCTGCTGAGTGTAAAGTTAAAAGAATGCAGTAGTAACTCTGAGAGAGTATGAAAATAAAAGCTGATTTAGGAGTCGTGTGGTTCTACAGTGATGAAATGAACTCTGACAGTGTTCATTAATGTAGTCAAATTACTGTGAGTCACATTTATGCTTTTTGAGTCAGAAAATGCATAAAGATGACTGCGGTCATAAGGTTCTTGGTAGCTACTGTTAAACCACTGTGCCTCTCATGTAGACAGTTACATCATTTTTTCAGAGCCATAACTAACTACAAAAATGTTTCCTGAGGCAGTTCTAGTATGAGCAGAAATCCTTTCAGTGGGGGGTTGTTGTTTGCTGGATATGGGGGAAAAAGCTCCTGAATAAAGGCATTTCTTGATAATGTTTTTTTTTGTAAAGATAAAGGACAGATAAAGAAAAAAAGAAAATCTGTGCTTTCTGAACGCCATATTCACCATCTACTGTATATGTAGGCAGCATAACAGTAACATGATGCGCCACACAGCCAGAATGATGCTTTAAAGGTCAAAGGTCACAGTGGGGTGGTAATTCTGAGACTATAGATGAAGCATGTCAAAGGAATTCTTGGGACAACAACGGAGAGGCTAGATGGAATTGGTTTCAAGCAGAAAAATGTTGTTACGAGTTGAAGATTTCAGAGTGCGGTGTAAAGATATTCCATTTTTATTGGAACACCTTGTGTGTCGAGTTTAAACAACCAGAGAAACCACAAACCTTCTCAAAATTCCAGATCATCAGATGGACAATATTTAAGGTGGAATATACAAATGCCCTCTTCATGATTCTGTAACACTGTCCCATAGTCCTTGTAGATATATTTCTCATACAGCATGTATTTTTAACTCTGAAAAGAGGTGATCTGTCTTTCTGTCTGTGTATGCTCCAGTTGTTTTTGTGTACAACTCTTAAATGAGACTACCTGTAAAAAAAGGGGGATTTAATAATAGAGAGGAAGCGATAGCTGACGTAATACACATTGGTATGCACACAGGGATGAATTTCTGAACACACACACAAACACTTAGCTCTAAGCTCGTGCCAAATGTTCAGCATCCTCCTAGAGACCTCCTTTTGTGCAGGGAAAATGCACCCATGCAACTCCTGTGTATTATGTATATGTGCATCTATGTGTTTCTATGGCTACACTGGTGACCTTGACTGAAGGATGTAATGCATATGACATAGCCAATGCTTTCTACGTCTTAATGTAACCCCTCGTGTGTTTATGCGTCTTCTTTTGTCTGGTCTTCCTTCACACATCACACATTACTCGCTCACTTGGACTCTGCAGAAAGCTGAAGAGCATGTGTTCAAGCGCAGCAAAAAACTCTCCTTTGGTTCTCATTATCTCTCATGAGGCCTTTCCTGAAAATGATCGGCTCAGTGTAGAAAGTAAACATACTTCAAAGAGTCATGAAAACAGTGTGGGTGTAGTAACAGCTGTGTATGGTAAAGTGACAGATTCCAGACAGGTTAAAACAATTTGACAAGGTTTTACTGCATTCCTAACTCTGGAGCTGATTTCTATTTAAAGATTCCTTGCACTCTGCTAACAGTGGCCCAGATGGTCCTGATGGTATACAGTGATGCACACATAACAGCAATGATTCACTTTCCCCTTTTATCCTGTTTTTGGCTTTATTATTTATTTTTTGTTACTGTCATGCTTAAAGGTCTTAAAATACATATTATTAAAGACATTAGAGACCTTCAACCAGATTCATGATAGGAGTGTTGCTTCATACACACGTTGTAACATAATATTTAGTTTTATTTATTTAAAGCCTAAAAAGAGCCCGTACTAGTGTATCTTCTCTGCATTTCATATATTAAAAGTAAAAATTCTTTCAAAACACCTGCTAATGAATCACGTAGCTGTTATTGGCTCTTTGCTTGTCATGGAAAACAGCTGGCAGAGGCTCCTCATTGTGAGTATTTGAATGTCTTTGGACACAATAGTCCAGGACAGCCAGAGGTCACTAACAGAGATGATGACTACATGAATCTCCCACAACATTAAAACCACTAACGGGTAAAATGAAAAACACCTATCATGTTGACTCGAGGTCAATGACATCTCCCACCAAGAGAATCCACCTCATTACACTGCAAAGACTCCACAGGACAGTTTCGACAAACTCTACAAAGAGCTCGCGGCATCAACCTGACATCCAGTCATCAAACATCTCCACCGTGCTGGTTCTGATGGCCTGCAGCCTCCATTTGTAACTGAAAGGGTTACCTTAAACTAATACTTTGACTGCTAGTAGAGACATTAACAATGAGACAAAACAATATGCTTCTAGGACTTTGCTGTTAGTTAAATTGCTGGCCTGTTTCTGTTCCTTGGGGTGGCTGTACAGGTGCTTTAGAGCTAACTCTACCTTTTCAAATTCCTTTTGATGGAAGCTAAACAATCATCAGTAACACTCTCCCTCTCATTGTTACCAAAAACCCTCCGGAGTTGCTTTGTCTCCCTTGAGAGAGCTTGATTGATCTACACAAACAACAACCTCTCACTGATTGGGCCCTCATCCTCAGGCTGGACGCTGCATTTTTAATTGGGTTTTGTCATTCTCCATCCTAGTTCAGCTACGTTTGTGGTTCTTGAATTTTAGCCTGCATGTAAAAGAAAATCTTGCATTCACCGAATGTGTATGGGGCACACATGCTCCCTCTCTATATAAGAAATTAAGACTTTTTTTCTACTCTTATTACTCTTGTTGACACTTTTTTACAGAATGAAGAGAAACCGGACATGTCAGGGGCTTTAAGCATTTTTGGTAGAACACAATGGATTCAAAAGTAAAGCTTATATAGATTTATGGGTTTTAAATATTTATTGTTCTTGAAATGGTTTAAAATCAAAAGATTAGTCAGTGGATGTTGCAATGATCTCAAAAGAGAATGATGATTCAGTTACTGCAGTGAATCACATATGACAAAGCTAAGCCTGCATGGGGCCAGTGATGGAAGCGGCGCTGTTTATAATGATCATGTTTGTTACTAAAGGCGTGGATGTCTAATAAAAGAGCCTGAGTCACATCCAGTTCAGAAAAACACCCAGCACTATCATTTTGAACTATTGGCAGTTAGCTTTATATAATCTGGGGAAAAAAAGAATTAATAAAAATGATTATTCACAAAAAC